TTTAAGCCTTCATAGCTTTTTGCCTCGTATATCAGTTCATTGAGTAGCAATTACTTAGTTTCAGGTTAGATATCTGAGGACATCCATTATCTTAAACACAAACTGTTTATTGTGGTCTGCAGACTGCTGCATGTCCCACATTAGGAAGTTAAACATTTCAAAGTCCACAGGTCAACGGGAGAGCAAAAATGTGCTTTTTTTTCAACAGCACATAGCTTTTTGCCTCGTATATCAGTTCATTGAGTAGCAATTACTTAGTTTCAGGTTAGATATCTGAGGACATCCATTATCTTAAACACAAACTGTTTATTGTGGTCTGCAGACTGCTGCATGTCCCACATTAGGAAGTTAAACATTTCAAAGTCCACAGGTCAACGGGAGAGCAAAAATGTGCTTTTTTTTCAACAGCACCATGCAAAGGTCTTTTGTGTTAGAAAATAAATGCTTTACTTATTGTAACAGCTGGGGACACACACCTGGTTTGTAGGTCAGTTATTAGTTTTCTTAATTGCATCACGTGACTTTGACATGAAGTGAGATCTTTTAAAAACTGTACATGGGGAATTTTTGCATGACAGGGAATGTAACAGTTTGTTGACTATATAGTGTTTGTTTTATGCTTCCTTGTATTCTGCTGGACAATGCCAGAATTGTTACTCTGTGATCACATGTTCTCACTAGAGAACTCTAAACCTCACAGTGTTTATCGCAATGTTTAGAATTATTTGTTTTCTTGATGCCCAGTTAATATGTAAGAACTCTTGAAATGCCTCATGAATTTCATGTTAGACTGAGTCAAAAGTATTTACTATAGGTTAGTTTTCCTTCAGTAGAATTTACAGTATTTTGAAGATAGTGTGTGGAACCTTTTTTCATCTGCACTGTCTGTTACCCTTGCCCTATTTTTTCCTGGTGTTGAGGTTCTAGCAAAATTTTATTTTTGGAGGATATTTGCAGCGGCTACTTCTCTCAGATCTGAGTAGTGTTTCTCAGAAGAGAAGCATATAACTTAATTTAATCTAGGAATAATTACTTACTAATATCATAAACATAATATTTTGAATGGTGGTGGAGGTATCTGTCAGCTTTTTTGTGCTTTACACAAGATACTTGTGCTTGGAGAAGGAAAGAAAAAGCCTCTTACATATATAGAGGGAAGGGTTAAAATAAAGGTGTCTATTATAGTCTAAATAATAGAAAATTACTATGGTAGTCTAGCCTTGGAAGTCGCATTTCTAGAGGGAAAAGGTTGAAAATATGGTCACTTTACTATGGAGTTTACATAAGATCAACAGCATATTGTCCTTGTAATAGGTACAAATTGCAGGGGTTTTCTTTTTTTATAACAAACTTTGAAAAAGAGTAACTTTGAACAAACAACTTGTCTCATCTGCATCAGTGCCTTACTCTTCTAAGTGTTCTGTTCCTCTCAGTTATCCTTCAGATGCTTTGTGAGACATCTGGGAGAACAAGCATACCATAGTGTGTTATAGTAAAATTGTATTGGTAGCATTAATAGGAGAGAGAGGGGAGGAGGGTGTGCACTTGAATGCAATCAAAGCCATGAAAGATGCAGGGGAATCAGATTTCCTTAGGCTAGTGTCTTTGGGTCTTTTTTTTTCCTGGTGGTTTTCTTTTTTCATAGCAGGAACCATTCTGTTGTGTGGGCAAGATTTAATATTTTAACTTTTCATTTTCTCAAGTTTGGTTTTTTGGTTTATGGTGGGGTTTTTTTTTTGTGTTTAACTGAGTTCTGTAACTGCTGTTTGGTTATATGTATTTTCTAGAAAAACTGTAGATCTGGATTTGAAGACTGGTTTCTTCAGCTTCTGACATGTATCTGGCAGGTTTTTCTCTAGTGGCTTATTGCTAGTGGGAATTTTAATTTGTATCCTGAGCAGTCTGGCTTCCACTTTTGACTGTTAGGCCTTTCTTCCAAATCAGGCAGCACTCCAGGGCACAGTATTTTCTCTTTGCAAAAAGTTCTATGGCTAATTGTCATCTTAATTAAGAAATTCTATCTGTTTACTCTGTCTATCTGGTGTGAGACACTCTTTTCCTGCTCTCAGGAAAAAAGCAAGCTTTCTTCTGCAGTCACTTTGATCTTGTGACCTGTCTGTAAAATGCATGCATTGCTCCTGTGTACATTGCACAGTGTCTAATGGTTTGACATTGTTGTGCTGGTGTAGAAACACCTAATATAGTGAAAGATTGCATTGGTTCCTGTAATGCTGCATCAGGAGGTCATACTGAGTTGCTCATCCCCTGCATAGTGGTCTCTTTTAAAGCCACTGCTTATAAGAATACAGTCTTCTTCTTTGTGGGTATGACCCTTTTCCCTAGATGTATTTGGTTATGATAACATTTATATTGTTTATATTGTTCACTCCCTTGGGATTGATTTGTGTTCAGATGCTCAGTTACAAGCAATTGACATACTTTTTTCAAGTGCTTTGGTGACTGACTAGGTCAGTATACAAAGTTTTTGATCTTAAATGGAACTCATGTTCAGGCTATGGAGAGTGAATAAAAACGACAAATTATGTGTCAGTGTGGAGGGAGTTGATACTTGAGGTGACACAATAATGAAAACTAAAATGTTCATAGATAGATTAGACTGGTAGATTGAATAAGAAATAGCAGCATTCCTAAATGCTGACATTTTATGTATTATATTTTATAGTAACATGGGGGTGCAAGTTTATGACAAGAAACCTTTGTAAAAGCAATTCTAAATGAACAGCATGTTTGGGGATTTTTCTTACTACTACTGTATCAAAGAAATTGCTTTCTGTTAAACATGAAGTCATTCTGACATACATGTAAGTACATTACACCCCCACTCCCCAGTTTTGGTAAGTCAGAAGATGTTTTAATTCCTAGGATTCTTTCCTTCCATTCTTCTAGCACTAAGCAAAAAACACAGGCTGTTGTGTAGTCTTTCAGTACCAAGCCTTATTAAAAACAATACATCTGGGTGAGTTGAAATGTGAATGTGGTGCTTTATGGTTTTCTTTCTGTTTTCTTTTTTTAAGACCAGTTAAACAAGGGTGTTGTGGTTTGACCCTGGTAGCAGTTCAACTTGCTCAGCTGCTTGCTTATTCCCATTTCAGTGGGATAGGAGAGAGAATCAGCAGGGTAAAAGTGTGGAAACTCATGGGTTGAGATAAAGACAGCTTAATAGGGAAAGCAAAAGCTGCACACATAAGCAAAGCAAAATAAGGAATTCATTCACTGCTTCCCATGGGCAGGCAGATGTTCAGCCATCTCCAGGAAAGCAGAGCTCCATCATGGGTAACCATTACTCAGGAAGACAAATACCATCACTCAAACTCATCTCCTCTTCCTCCTTCTTCCCCCATGCATTTTTGCTTTCCAGGCAAACAAGAGGCTTTTGCTTTTCTACTCTGGAAACCATAACTTTTTGGTGTTAAGAAAACGTCATTTACTCAAACACTGTCCTACTCCCTGTCTGTCACTTTCTAAGAAGGTTTTATGTTGTTGTTCAGCAAATAATCTACTGAAAGTAATTAATAAGCAACAACTAAAAGCAGTTGCTTTTTCTTCCTTTTCTTCACTGAGAAAGACTCAATAACCACAGCAACACTTTGGTGTTGTACCTCACCTGGGTTTGCCACAGATGTAAAGTGATGGTAGAAAAAGGGCACAAAGATGATTTCTAAGGAGAAGAGAAGAATTCTGCAAGACCCTTGGCAGTTCACTCTTCTGCAACTCATTCCTTGCATCAGTAGTGTCCCAGCAATAGCTGCCTTGGTAAATCTTGCAGCTGTTCTTGTAAACAGCTACCAGTAGAAGATACTGGAGGCATGAAGGCAATCAGAGGAGGCAATGTAGCTAATTAACCACAAATGAAGGGAAAAAATTACTCAAGGTGACTATTTTTACACTCAGAAGAAGATAAACAGGTAGAAGAATTTAATGTTGCATCTGCCAATAACATTTGTGGCTTAATATCTGAAAAGTCTTAAAAAAGTTACTCAAGAAAATGCAATTTAAGCAAGCCTTAGTTGCCGAAGATGGAGGCTGTTGCTTGGCTTTTGTGTGGGTCTTGTCCTATTTTGACCTGGCAGCCCTTGGATAGAGGAAGCGGAGGGAATGAGAAATCTTTCATCTCTGCCAATCCACTGTTCCTCTAAGCGGCAATGCAGGGTACTAATTTTAGACTGTCATTTCGAACAGCCAGTGAGTAAACATATCAGCGCTTATGTTTTTTTCTATTTATTAGAATTGCATTTGTGTGTAGACAAATAGATATATAAAAGTTGCCTGTAAACTCTGCTGGTATTGGAATAGTACTGACAATAATGGCACTGAAATGAATATGAATTTGTCTGGTTAAACCGAGTGAACATTTTGAAATACACAGAACACAAAATTTCTCATTTTTGATGAAAAATTAGTGGTTTTTTGTGGTTTCTCTTGTAGTATTACTTTGATGC